AATGCCCTAAGGATAAAAATAATCAAATCATTACACACATGCATGCGCGCACGTGCAAGCTTCTTAAAAATTCATTGTAGGCCAGCAGGTGGCATGATGGTTAAGGTCGATGGACTTCCACATGGCTGACCATGGTTTGAGTCCCAGACCTGGCAGCTTGCTTTCTTACATATTCTTTCTTTCTCGCTCTCTCCCCCTCCCTCCCTCCCTCCTTCCCTGTGCTTCTCTGGTTAAATTAAAACAAACAAATAAATGAATGAATGAATGAATAAATAAATAAATAAATGATTTTTTTTTTTTAATTCATTGCAGGACCAGCAGTTAGCATAATGGCTATGTCGCTGGACTCCCACGCTGGCTTAAACTCATGCTGGGCACATGTGCGTGCGTGCCCAAGATCCCGAGAGGAGACTAGAGGAGAAGGGATTGTGGTGTGGCCATCCCCACTGGGGGGATGATTTCTCACTTTCTATCTCTCTGTCTCTCTCTGTCTTTCTGGCGAGTGCACGTGCCCTATAGCAAAAACCTCTCAAAAAAAAAAAAAAAAAAAAATCATTGCTAGCTCTGTTGACATAAAAGGGCCTAGAAGAAAATGACATCCACATTGCAATGAACCCCTTGTGCCCAGACATTATTGGGTTGTCGGAAAAGTCATGATGTTTTTTCTATGCTTTTTTGTGCAAATATGCATCATGATATTTTTGATGACCCAGTAGTTTCTGAATGTAATCACTCACAAAAAGCAACCAGGTAGCTCTTAAGGCCATAGCTGATTGCAGGACTGAGGCAGGTGAAGTAAAAAGTGATCACAGAACACCTTACTGTGCCAGAAACTATGCTAGTGCTCAAACACTGACAGGGAAACAGGAAAAGAACAGGGGAGCAGTTTGAAGGACCTCCTCATAACCAAATCTGGGATTGTTTTGGGCATTAAATGGAATAATGACAAATGAATAATATATTTTTTTTATTTAATTATATTGACACAAACAAATAATTAGGGTGGGAAAACAGGAGAAAAGGCTGCTCTTTTTAAATAAAATGATAGCCACTAGTAAATAAATAAGAAATTTTAGAAAATCTCTTTTTTTTTTTTTAAGTTTGCTATATAAAGCACTTGTCAGAGACAGACAGAAAGGAAATGCCAGAAATCAACCCCTGCAGGGAAATGACACAATCTCTTCTCCATTATCATCTTGGGATCTTGGGCATGCACATACATGTGCCTGACGTGTTTTTCAAACCAAGTCCAGAACTCAAACTACAGAGTCTGCCATGTGGGATGCAGCTGCCTTAACCTCCTCACCACCTGCTGGCCCAGAAAAACCTTTTTTCAAGCTGACAATGTGCAAGTTGATTCTGACAAGACTTAAGTCATACTAGCACCACTAAGTGAATGACTGCTGGGAAACACCACTGCCAGCATGCAAGCTATTAACCCCTAATTATAAGAAGAAAAATGAAACTTTACAGAGTAGTGATACAGCAGATACAATTCTAACCAAGTAACTAAACATAGTATTATCAAAAATAATACACAAACTGATTATAATACACAAAGACATCACCCCATATAATATTCTCACTAAAAATGTTTACCTTGAATCTAAGCACAAGGAAACAATCAGATAGAAATTGTGGAAGAATAGCTGGCCTGGATTAAAAAATGACAATGTTGGGACCAGGAGATGGCATAATAGTTACATTGCTGGACTCCCATGTAGTTGACGGCAGTTCGAGTCCCTGACCCAGTAGCTTAAAACTCATGCCAGGAGTGTGCGTGTATACTCAAAAATCAAAGCAGAGAATAGAGGAGAAGGGATTGTGGTGTGGTCAACCCCCCAGGGTGTGATTTCTCACTTTCTGTCTGTCTCTGTCTCTCCAGCGAGTGCATGCGCCCTATACCTAAAACCTGTCTTAAAAAAAAAATTAAAAAGCCAATGTCACAGAGACAAAAGGCTTCAAAACTGTTCTAGATTAGAAGATACTACAGAGATACAGCAACTAAGCACAGTGCACAATGCCGAGGGGGAAAACAGTTACAGAGAAAAATTATTAGAACAATAAGATCTCTGAACATCAACTTTTTCTATGCAGAAATATGTCATGACTTTTCCAATGCCCCAATAGATACCAAGGCTGTAGTAAGATTAAGTCTCCTGAGTGTGATAATTACATTTAGAAAGGAGAACAGCCCTATTCTTAGGCTGTATTTACTGAACTATTAATATTTAGAGATGAAATGTCATGATGTGTACATGAAATTTTCATATGGTTCAGAAAAACATGATATCATGTGTGTATGTAGAAAATAAATCCCAAAATATGGCAAAATGTTAACAAAAACAATTGGTTAATCTTAATAAAAATGTACATGAGGGGGCCAGCAGGTGGCATAGAGGTTAAGGAGCTGGATTCCCACATGACTGACTACCGGACCTGGCGGCTTCAAAATCATGCTAGGTGTATGTATGTGCATGCCCAAAATTGACGAAGACAATGGAGGAGAAGGAACTGCAGTGTGGCCGTCCTCCCTGGAAGGTGATTTCTTACTTTTCCTCTCACTGTCTTTCTCTGGCAAGTGCACGTGCCCCATGTACAAACGTACGTGGGCATTCACTGTTTTATTTTTGCCACTTTTCTGTAGGTTTGAAATTTTCCAAATAAAAAAGTAGTGAAAAGTAAATTTTAATGAAAAGTAGAGAGTTAATTAAACAAATCCAGTGTTCTTCATTCATTAACTAACATAAAGTTTTCCTACTAGAGAATGATTGCTTGTGAGACTTCTCTATGGAATGCTCTAATACTCTGCGGTATCAACTATAATATAAACACAAAGTTTCTGCATTCTTAATATCAATTCAAAAAATCATAAGTTAATTCTCCAGGTCTTCAACCTTATAATAGCCTATAATCACTGCCTCACTAATCAATATGAGTCCCTACTTCTGGAACTCCCTGAGCTAGATCTTCCTTGGAGCTACTCTAGATAGTAAACTTCTGCTCTATGTAAATCAGAGATTTCAGTACAAGGTACCCATCTGACTTCTGTCCTACCATGGACAGAATTCTGTTGTCCTTAGGGAGTTCAAGGCCCACAGCTATCCCTTGAGTGGTGCTGAGGTTAACAAGTCAGCATACACTGTTTTCTCTTCCCAACACTAAGTGTAGGTGATGTCCCCAACAGATACCCAGGAAGTGTCTGCCTCATGGTCCTTCTGTGGAGTTTCAAAGCACTACCTCCTGCACTTCTGAATCCCTGAAAAGGAGAATTATGATGCAGTTTCTCCGGGCCAAACTGTGACCCCAGAGCGATAACCTCTATTCATCATAAGCTAAGATCAGTCCTTCCTAGAAAGGATGTCTTCAGTTTTTTGGGAGAATCCAAACTTTTTTTTTTTTTTCCATTACAGTAGGAAGAGAAAGAGAATCTTGGACAAATCCATTAATACAGAAACAGAAGAAGGAAAATTAGAAGGTCCTCCCATGAAACAAAACTTGACACTTACCTAAGGCAGACCTGGGTATGCTGGCATCCTCTTTGGCAGTCAATGATGTGCTATCATCTCTGGAGGGAATATGCATCGAACCCTAAAAACAAGGAGAGTCAGCAAATTTAGACAGGTGTAGGCCTCTGACTACAATGGCAGGACTGAGAATATTCTCACAGAGTTTGTTATAAAAAATCATCAAACAAAAAGGAAATGCAGTGGGAATGAGTACCTATGCAAGTCCACAGATCTTACTTGATCAGTCTGCTCTCCGAGATGGGGGCCAATGGAGGGAACTTCAGCGTGTGGGTTGGAGATGAGTGCCTGGGACATTATGAAGTCTCTCCCGCCTAAGTACTGGCGCAGAGCCTGTAATTCTGAGTTTCTTTCCATTAGGGCTTGCACCATCTTCTTTGTTGCAGCCTAGTAAGAGGAAATCACGAGAAACATTAGAAAAAATATTCCAGCAAAACAAAATTTGTGTTCTGGTGGTATTTCTTTTATTTTTATTTTTATTTTTCTGGAGAGGTTTTTGCTATAGGGCACATGAGCTCACCAGAAAGACAGAGAGACAGAAAGTGAGAAATCACACCCCCAGGGGGGGATGGCCACACTGCAGCCCCTTCTCCTCTCTTCTCCTCTCGAGATCTTGGGCACACACGCACACGTGCCTGGTGTGAATTTAAGCCACCAGGGCTAGGATTTGAATGGCGGTCAACTACATGGGAGTCCAGCGATATAGCCATTACGCCAACTGCTGGTCCCTGGTGTTGTTTCTTAAAAGCCATCCATTTATAAAAGTTAGTGGGCCCTAATAGTTTTTCTAATTTCAGTTTATAGGGGAAAATATAGTCAAGTGAATGGAAAGTCTCTCACAGACAGAATACTGAAAAACAGATGTTACAGGTAAGAGGACCTGAAATAGGTTCTGCTAGATCTGTATCAGGCAAAGGTGTTAAGATTCTGGTTTGAACTAGGAGAACGATGTATTCTTTACTCTGGGATAGATGTTCCTTCAGCCTGGGAAATACCACTCAAGTCTTGATCACTTAGAATCAAAACCCAAACACTCCAGAACTCCATACTCCTTTCTCACAAAACAATCAGAGCATTTAAAAAAAAAAAAAAAAAGCTACCTTAGAGGTTTACTAGAAACCTTATTATTAGGCACACATCCAAATGCAAAGTATCCCAAAAACATTTTATACTTTGATAACTGATCTAAAACTGCATTCTGTTGGGTCACTGGACAAGTCATGAGGTATTTCCCTATGTTTTTCTATGCAGAAATGCACAGCACTTTTCCAATGGCTAAAAAATTGAAGGAAAGAAGCTAACAGAATTGACTGTAAAATAATATAAACATTTACATGTTGCAAGGTTCAAATGGTTCCTATTTGCAGAGTACAAATAAATGCATTACGTGGAACTTTCCTGGGCCGTCACTAGTCCTTACTTGGCTCTCCTGCTCCCTGATGCCCATCGACTGAAGCAGGCTCTGGATCTCCATTTCATGTTCCACGGCCTGCTTGTTCCGATCACTTAGAAGGTCCTGCAGCATCCGTTCCTTGCGCTGCAGGCGTTGGCACAGCTCCTCAGCTATCTCGCTCTGCCCTGGTCCGAGTTTGCAGAGCAAGGTTGCACTGAGATCCTAACACAGAAGGAACAGGATAAGTTTCTAGAGGAAAGAACTCCCTCTTCTACATATTGAAAAGCTTATATGAGCCTATCACAGGAAAAAGAACTGTGAGATTCTTGAGAATAAGGATCATGTTTTATTCACTTTCGTTTCTCCAGATCTAGTGCAGACCTAGCATACAAAACACTGTAAGTACATGTGCAGCGAGTGAACAGGCATTGTGGTAAAGTACATATTACTTTCTGAAATAAGTTCTTTCCCTATTTGCTCAGGGCACGTAACACTTTATGTTAAACAGAAATGGACACTCAGGTCATTTCGTTTCAGTTTTCTCCCTAGTACAACTTTCTAGGGGAAGCACAGAATGACAAGCTGAAAAGAAATATGGAACACCGCATGTATTAGCATGGCGACACCATTTCTATCTCTATAGGAGAGCACGGCCATACTACCTGGGTGGAATTCTGCCTCTGTCACTTATTAGCTATGGTGCCTTGGACAAGTTACTTAACTTCAGAAGTTTGTTATTTATAAAACAGGGATGACTGTATATCCCTCACAGACTCGTGAAGATTCAGTCAATTAGTATCCGTTAGGCTCTTAAAACAGTGCCTGACCCAGCTTGAGCAGTATAACTAACAAAGGTCAGCTACCATATGGTAACTGTATTTTTTTAGATCTCATTAATTCTCATATAACTTTTTTGAGAAAGATAATTCTCAACTTACATGTATAGGTGTAAAAAAAGAGTACTAGTAAAAGTCAATGATTTGCCCAGGCACAGAACAGAATTAAAGACTTGGGTCATCGGCCTCCCAGACCTCAAGACTCCTAATCCAACACTAAACCAACTGCCTTTCAGGTAACAGAAGCCTTGCCTCCACTTCTTTGTTCCTGTCATGCAGCGATGTCTGTAACTGCTGAATGATACTCTCTTGTTCCTTCTGCCAATGGCCAAATTTGGTTTCCATTTCTTCTTTCACCCACTGGAGATTTTGGCAGGTAGCAGATAACTGTTCCACTTCCAGGCCTTTCGCCCTCAGCAGACTCTCCATACTCTACAACATAAAGTGGCAGCCATAAGTCAAAGGACACCCCATGTTTGTCAGGAAATAAACAAGAAATTAGATCTACCTTTAAATTGCCTCCTTTAAATTTTTGCTAAAGGAGAAAACTTAAGTATCTAACTTAACAGTGCAATACTCATCAATTTTTTGCCTTTAGAAACTCTCATTTAGTTTATGGAAAAATAGAGTACGTGACAAAATGAAGTATTTTGGAGGAAGTATGCTATAATATAGAGAAGGTGAAGGACTTCTTTAAGAAGTGGCTGATAATTAGATATATAAGCTCTAAAATGAGTATGTGAAAACGCCTACAGTAAATGTTAATAAACTGTCCTAATATACATGGACAGGTATATAATATTTTTAAAATTCTTTTTAAGAATTATTTTACCTTATTAATTTGTTTATTTTAATTTGACCAGAGAGGGACAGAGTGTGTGTCTGAGAGAGAGAGAGAGAGAGAGAGAGAGAGAGAGAGAGGAAAAGTGAGAAAGCAAGTCCTAGGTCCAGGACTCAAACAGCAGTCAGCCATGTGGGAGTCCAGTGCCCCTAACCACCATGCCATCTGCTGGTGTATATATATATAT